GTAAGTACTATGTCAGGTATAATCTGATACATTCCCAAAATAACCTGTTACACATAGCACATGTCCAACTTGTTTTTCACATAGAAAATCATTGATACAAATAGCATATGAAGGTGATGGGGTTATGATTTGATCAGAGAGATCTTAGAGTCACTAAAGTTAACAAAATCAATGATAGCAATAATTGCATACAGCATGATACTTATTCCGCACTGTAATTGGATCTTCCATTCACACTTGAAATAAGATATCCTAGAAATAGTATCTGATAACAGCAGCAAAGTTTATTAGCTACTCAAAAGGACAAGCTTATCAATGATGTTTCGTAAATGGCAAACCAGAACACAAATACATTTCTTTGTTCAACTCCACCTTTGGTCTGCACGTGCCCAATGAATATAGTAAATTACATGGGCTTTGTTGAATACAGTCTGTACTACAGTATGTGTGTACATTATATTGGCAAAACGATATCAAAACGTGCATCTCATTTAATATTTCATATGAAAGATCATAGCATGCAAACAGTGACACTTGAAATTGTGAAGAAAAGTTAGAATTTTAGGAATGATGGAAACAATAATCACAAAAAAAACAAAATATTTCATTTATGTTTCATTACTTATTCTTTACAAATGTTAAATTTTTATTTTTATGTAATTAGATTTAAAAATCATCAATCAAATCTTACATTATAGTATGTTTTTACCGATATTACAAACCTGACAATGTAAGCCGAGTCTTTTGACAATTATCAATGTCAACTTAATTCTAGATTTGACTACAACAGTGTATGTCAGTTTTGTCACCAATTGCTAATTACTAATTAATTACAAACAATTAATTATTCTGGCCAGCATTTAAAAAGCTACAAAAATAGTATAAAAATAATAAATAATTTTATGAATTAAAATAAAACAAGTTATTTTTTATTCCAGCTCAAATCGGTACATTTTTTAATCTGGCTAGATAAATCAGTATCAAAAAAATGTTACAAAATAACTTTGTGTAACTGACGCGTATTATTATAGAGAACACCTAAACTTTAAGCTTAGCTTATTAAACTAAAAACTGTCAGTTACTAACTCTGATCTTCAAGATGCACAATAATAATAAGAAAAAATAATGTTAAAAACAATATTGAGTGTCCCAGACTGCCACAACCTATTATATAGTAAATTTGCTAGGTGTTTGTTGAGATACCAGAACTTGAAGGTATGCCTAATTTATGCAAAACAAGTCAATGTCAATGACATAGTTCTGTGACTATGTGTAAACAGTGATAAATGTTGATATATTCAAATGTTGGGGGAGATATGGGGAGTATTCAACATGTTTACTAAAAACGATGTTTCAAATGACAACAAATCCACATTTTTCTCAGTCAATGTGACGCACCCTATTAAAAAGATCATTCTCATGTCATACAAACAAAATTGAATAATCCACACATAAGCAAAATAGACAAAATTCCTGTGAATTTTCATTTGTCGAATGAACTGTTTGTCAAATACAGAATACATACATTTTAGTACAATTTTCTTTTCAAAATGTGGATGCAACGTTTTGCTTTGTATGTATTGTTTCTGATTTGATAACTTTGAACTAAACCGATTTTCTATTACGGTAGCTTCAGATCTTGATCAAAGTTTGGCACCCACTTCATAGGCAGGGGCGGATCTAGGATTCCGGAATAGGGGGGGCCGATAAGTTGGCCAAAGGCCAAGTTCGCGAGCGATGGCGCGAAGCCTTGTTGGTTGTTAAAAATAGAAGGGCCGCGGCCCCCTCGGCCCCCCCTCTAAATCCGCTCATGATAGGAGTGCTTATATTGATTTTCTGACATCTTGTTTTCTGTAAAGATTTTATTGGTAGGTTTGCAAATGTATATCAGACTGTGCTAAAAATCTCTCCATGAGTTGGTTTTGAAACCCAGTATAGTATTCCCATGGGATTTGGGAGATACATTACCAAGGATATTATTACAAGATAAATGATTTGCTTCATTTAACACGTACAACAATGCATATTTCCACTGAGATCAGTGACCTTTGATGTGTATCACCAGTGATCAGTCAAGTAGAAATCCGAAGCAGAAAATATTTTATCAGATTTTCTAAATTTTTGCATGATATTTTCATACAGGACATCTGTTGTTCAAACTCAGGGAAGACTTTATGATGAAGTTTGGAATTATATGAAGTGATTGTGCACACAGTAACAATTATTAACAACGACGACAACAACGACAGACAAACATTTTTTCCCTTAATATACCTTTCCCTTCCATCTTTGATGGTACGGGCAAGGTAAAAAGGTGAAATGTTTCGATTAGCAAACAAAAATTTATTTAAAAAAAAAAACATTCTTCAGTATTACAGTAAGAGCAATGACCATCACAAATACGCTAATATTACAGTATTAACTGCTTGCATAGTTTGACAAATTTCAAATCTTTGTATCTAGTATCCCATCAAAATATCATCTACACACCATGTATCCTGGCAAATTTTTCTCTATAGCCATTTTTGCATCGTAGTCAGTCTAACAAGCAGTTTGTGAGAATATTCAGTAATGTCCACTGACACAGACATTACATGCTTTCACTAAATACCTGTGGTTAATTAATTAAAATGCTCTTGTCATATGCATCTGAAACCTGTACCACAGGGGTGAATGCACTAATTACAAACACATGTATGAAACTATACAGCATATGATATAAATGTAGATACCACTAACGTAAAAAAAAAATAATAATAATATAATATAAAATGTGCACTAAATTGTACCAAAATCTTATCAGACAAACCGTTATTTATCAGTGGGTCAAATTTTGTTTATTTGACATGAATGCTCTTGAGATAGTAATAACACAAATTGTGATAGACAATAGCCCCAAGCTAAATAGATAAAATTGATGTGAACGGAGTGGACTTTCAGTCATAATAACTGCTATGGGCCATAATTCAAAGATTTATCAACAACAGCAGTATGCCTTTGTACCTGTATAATGTTACCTTCACAAAGAGGTGAAAGTAAAGAGTTGGCAGACATTTGGTAGACAGACGAGGGAACGAAAAAAGGATGATCAATGCAGAACGGCGCGACTCTCACAAGATATTCAGCTATCCAAGTCACTCGTTTATCTACGCAAACAGTTACAAAACAAAAGCCTGAGGACTTGCTACAAAAAAAAAATGCACTGAACTCAGCTGCTAATGGTTTTTAACAGTGACAAAAGAGAAGATTGTGTGAAAATGTGACATAAGGCCAGCGTAGCTTTTATCTGCATCGTGAGTGGAATAATAATTACCATGAATGGGTTCGCTGACTGTCAACGTTAAAATAAGTGATGTCTCCACAATAGGAATGTTGTTATTCTTCAACATGCACTCTTGACCTATTTTTGTGGTGATGTCTTTTTCATAACCTGTATAATTATGTGGATTGGTAATGACATTCAGAACCCAAGTTGTCAAATGGCAGTTTAGTCTTTTGTTTGTAAACCATATTTTATTTTTAACAGTCCATGAACTGCAGGTCAGTAGTACATTGTTTTATTATTATATTATCATTGATTAAAGTAAATTTATTCATTGATTATTTAGAAATTAAATTTAATTGCTACCAGTAATTAAATATCAGTGATATATTCCTGATTACATTTACCAATGAGAAATTGTAACATAGAAAACGAATTGGAGGAAAGCACAGAATAGAATAATTTTTTTTTTAAATTGGTGTGTATATCCTTTTTTATTTTGAAATTGTCATTACAATTTATTCATTGATTATTTAGAAATTAAATTTAATTGCTACCAGTAATTAAATATCAGTGATATATTCCTGATTACATTTACCAATGAGAAATTGTAACATAGAAAACGAATTGGAGGAAAGCACAGAATAGAATAATTTTTTTTTTAAATTGGTGTGTATATCCTTTTTTATTTTGAAATTGTCATTACAATTTTTTATATTTAAATTTTTTCACAAAAATTTATTTCTTGTTTTAATTTTTTTTAAATTCTGACAAAAAATGCAATTTCTCAACTGACACACATGATTACACACAAATGTCCAAACAAAATACCGACCCCAAATATACTGGTAATTTCTTTCAAAAAATGCAAATTATGAAATATCAGAAAAATATACAAACTGAATCAAATCTCAAAACAAATGTGCCATAGTGACTGAAAATTAATGCAAACTATACCAGTATGACTGTAAGCAATAGTCACAAAATGATCACAAATAATAAAGCAGAATCTGTTATGTATTTCAGAGCATTACAGACAGTAATATACCTGTTCTGTTATCTTGTTGATTTAGGTTAGGTTATAATATAAAGGAACAGCCTGAAACAGCCTGTTATCAAGCTTGGTTACCAGTAAATTCACAAGGTTCATGCCAGTAAAAACAAAATATAATTGGCAAAATAATTGGCAAGTACAAGAAGAATTTCATTTTTTACCAAAAATTTGCCAAAAATAGAGAATATATGATATCGGCATCAGGTGAACAATTCAGACAGAGGTCCACCCAATGTACTTAAATATAACGTTAAATATAAGCTGCGAGTTTTCAAGAAATTTTACCAAAAATATTTGCTGAAAATATCTATGTTGACAGTTATAACTCGTGACTGGCAAATGTTAACACTAACTGTACAAACACTGCTGCATAAATCACATCTGTTTGGGATTACACGTTAATGATGTGGTATTCAGATGTCAATCAGGTTTAAAACACCTGCTGATATTACCTAAATCAATATTTAATGTGTACTCTTAATTGTACATGTATTTTATCACCTGTATAATAGGTGATTTTCCATTCAACTGTGAGATCTCGCGAGATGCATGAAAGACGCGTGTCTGCCGCAAAAATCAATTGATTTAATTTTTGAACTAAAATTTCTTTATTTCGTAGCTCACATCGACCGGCCGATCTTCGACAGAGGAATATTGTTTTCGAATACCCTTACGTAATCAAAATTGTCTAACATCAAATGTGCACAGCACATTATTAAGCATGGAAAAGGCCCCCCCCCAAATATTTTTGCGTTTGTCGAATCCCATGACCTTTGTTTGTCCTGTTTTTACGTTCGATTTCACGCATAACGTGTGATTCTCGCAATGAATGGAAAATGGTCTATTACATGCATTTGCATTGTATAAATTTGGTCTTTTGTTGTAAGTCACATTTTATTTGTAACCATCTATAGATTACATGTCATTAGTACTTTTGATTTATTATTATAGTAATATTATACTCATCAGCAATGAAAATTGAATAATTTATTAATTCATTCAATTACTGATTGTCATCGTTGTCTCACCTGACTTTTTTTTTTATTTGAAGTGCTAGCGCTGGTCATACATACATGTACACATGTATAGTGTATGTCGCACAGAAACTATAATATTCCATGACAACGCAGCTATCTCTCCATTAAGTGGTGAGTGGTGGAAATTAACCATGGTACCACCAGTAGCTTAGCCCTCAATGATGTGTTTACACATTAACCCAGGGTATGGGTCAATTTCCTTCCTGGTGTTCAACCCGAGGCAGGGTTTGAACTTGCTACAATAACCACTGTTTCAAATTGTATGGAAATCATCACTTCCACCATTATTTGAACCTGTATTTACCAGTGACCTACCCGTCAACATTTTTATCGCTTTTCAAGATTGTTAAGTGTGTAGTGTAGTTTATGCACAACATATTCATGGTGGTTGATATCAACACTGTTATATAAAGTCGATTACCAATTTTCAAAAATGTCAAATAATGATCAAAGACCAAGTTTTATGACTGGACAGTCTGACGACTTAGTCGAGCATAAGCACTATTATTAAAGACGGATGAGTACAGTATAATCAACTGATTGAACTTACTGTTTTGGCGAGAATCATCGGCAGGAATCCTGCAAAATAGGGAGAAAATGTTTGCCCACCAACTGCTGCTGCCAGTGACGGAATAAGATCTCCAGCATCTTCCAATAATATAGCGTCAAATTCAGCTTGCTGGTCATCATCTATATCGTCAATTTCTTCCTCCTCACCTTGGCACAATGTCTAGAAAGGAAAGCAATCAGTTTATTACCATTCCTCCTCTTGTCTTGCTGAGTTCTGGTTTTCTCAGCTTTTTTCTCAAGTCAAGTGCAATAGAAAGTTTTGTTTATCAAGTTCAAGTTCAACCATTTATACTAAATTAATTTGCGTTACCTTTCACTAAATAAACTTACATATTTATTTCCAAACAAGCAGCTTTACCAAAAAATTACAAAAATATTCACTAAAATTATTGACATAAAATTAACAAATCTGACTGAGGTCCACTTGAGGTGTCTACATATAAAATATCAAAGTAATTGGCTAGAATTGGATAGCCATTTTCAAGAAGAAGTCAAAAATAACATTTTTGGCCCAAAACGACAAAAATATTTACTAAAATTAGAGAATTGAAAGTGTCTACCCAAAATGAACAAATCTAAGTAAGGTTTACTAAAGGTGTTCACAAAAATTCGAAGCAATTGGGCTAAATATTTTAAAGAAGTCAAAAATAGAAATTTTTACTAAAAATATTCATCAAAATTAGAGATTTAAAGATATCATCATGAAATGAATAAATGTGAGAAGTCCACCCAAGGTACATATATACAAAGTATCAAAGCAAGTGGAGTTGCCATTTCCGGGACGACACCAGACAGCGAACAATCAGTAATATGAATAGCCCGACTAAGTCAACAGCGGAGCTAAAAACTACATGGGAAATGTTCAATTGGTCAAAAAATTAAATTAAACGAAATTTTAGAAAATACATAAAACAGAAATTATCAGAATCCTTGTTTTCCTTGGAAAAGGCTGGGTGGTACTTTCTTTTTATTCCACCTTTCCTAATTTATATGGTACAATACTTCTCAAAAAATATGTTGATATTTTTTAATTATTCTCTCAGAATTATGTCTGATCCTAACACTAGTTTGCATACAGAGTTGGATTAAAAAAAAATCAATTGATATTACAAAATATGATAATTATCTGTAAAAAAAAAATCAACATCATGTACCACAAATTAAAACAATAAATATGAGTAAATTATCATTAAATATGCAAATAAGATAATTAATATGCTGATTTTATTTATAGCAAGTGTGATGTTGTGTGAAAAATTATGTTGAATGATAATTATAATTTCAATGGTTCACTAATACATCACAAAATAACACAAAACACATAAAAAACATACAAGCAAGGATATTGTTTCTTATATGACTTTTAGAATGACAAATGGAGTGTACTATGATAAGCTAATAAATTATCCACCAGGAAAATATTTTCTTTTGTCTATGAGCTTACTATTTATAAAAGCATAACCAAGTAGGTCAAATAATGAAACATTACCAGGTGCAATTCCCCATATGTCAGCACAAACCATAATGGTTTGCTAAATAGTACAGAATTAATCAAAAATGGACTCAATACCATAGGTATACATTAATTAGTGTTTCATCCACCAATCGGCCATCTTGAATCAATCGTGAAACAAATTAATGTGCATATGTATAATATTATGTATGATGCATGTGTGAAGTTCGAATGTAATCGGTCCAGGTATGTCTAACAGGTCCATCCATAAGTCCACGTTCGGATGAAATATTTATTTCCATTGGTAAATTTATTTAGACATTGTACAATATATGTTTGTTGGCACTAGTATCATTTACGACCTACATATTGTATATTTTCTGTTGAAGTTTATTTTTTGAATAAAATCAGGTTTTTGTTTGTTTTCACTTAAAAAATTACGTAGCGAGTAATGTCAATCAAAATCAACACTTCAGAAGATATAAAAAATTCTGTGTCTCCGAATATTTTTATTTGTCTTAGTTTTTCAAAAAATAATCCTTTAAAAGCCTTGCTTTCAGATTTTTTTGATAAAATTACTGATTTTGTCATTAAAAGTGTGATTTATTTCATTCCAGAATTGTTATCTAATATCAGCCACACAATACATTAGAAACATGTGCAACCATTTCACATAAATCAGTTCAGGCAATGATGAAGAATGATGAATTCTTAATTAGTGAGGTCAGAAAAGACATAAAATGCTAATTTACATATTATTAATTACATATTTAGTGTTCAAATGGCAATAATAAACTACAGAATCAGTGAATTATTGTTCTGTAAAAAGTAAAATTTACCGACTAATGTAAAGTACAATGTATGTGTACATTTGTTGAATGACATCATTGATTATGCAAATGTATGAAAGTGCATAAATTAGTTCGTCAAAACAATGACAATTTCTCATTTTCGGGTCATTTGGACCAATTTGTTAATGTGTTTTATATAAGACGTATATCAAAAATTGTACGCAATAAAGAGGACTGAATGCAGATCCAAATAAACGAAGGCTTAGGCTGAGAACAAAAATATCTTTTTTCTCGTTTCTGCGCGCATCATTTTGAACTGTGCACCTTAAACGTTCTTTTCATTCTAAAATATTCCAAAATGCGCTTGTACTCACACTTGTCTCAAATTTCCCCCATTTTAGCTCTGTATTCAAAAAAAAAATAAAAAAAAATACGCCGCCTGTTTTTAAAATTTCCATGAAACAGAGAAACAGAGAATTCTTTTTTCCTGGTCTTAGATAGAACTCTCGTGTGCTGATATTATTGAGACCATATTTAAAATTAATTACAAATTTTAGATCAGCCTTTTAAACCTAGAAACTTGACAAGTAATATTGGTCTGCTATTTGAGATGAGCAACATGAAAACAATGCAATGCACAATATTGAAGTGTATAATAATTTGATTGTACATCTGTGGTTTTCAGTCCGATTTATTCTGGAGTACCTTAACTACAAGTTCAATTTAAATCTGACTTTTCGAGATGTTGGAATTGACCAATAGATAATTAGATAATCAAATATGCAGGGTTTAAACTAATCACATCTGTAATTATGCAAAGTAATAATAAATATGCTCGAATTTCAAAACTAATCAGGTCTTTATACACAGCTTGGTCCTCAGGTACTTATACCAAGCCTTATTGATATTGTTTTTTTTTAAATTATAGGTGGAAAATTGGCAAACTTTTGCAAATTAGTTAATCAATATGCATGGATTTCAACCCTGTGCATTGTCCTGTGGCGCCTACATACTAAAATTCATTAGAATGTGATAATTAATTCTTAAATTATTTTGCAAATCAGGTAATTATGGATGTATTTATACACAAAACAAATTAGGTCGTTTCATTGTCTTAGAGCAATTAATCATTTATCATGATTAGTACTTGGATATCTACAGGATAGCTGTAAACTAATTTTCAAGCAAATTAGGCAATTAACATATGCAGATTTTAACCAAAAACTTAACAAGTTTCCACACATGTCACTATGTACATGTACCAAGTTTCATTGAAATGGGATGATCAGTACTTGAGATATCGGTGGAAAAGCCGATAATTGACTAATTATTATGCAAATTTGGTAATTAATATTTCAAGCAAAAACTAATCAGGTCTGTACATTGTCCTGAAGCACCTATTTACTAAGTGTCGGAAGTACGAAAAGTAAATATTGATCAAAAATATGTGATACGAACATGGGGGTAATCATTCAATATATTGTATACATTGTGGCTAATATCAAACAGCAGAGTGTAACAATTATAGTAAAATTTCATATCAAGACAATATTAACCATTCAGAGATAATGCCAGCATTAAAACAATCCCAGGGGTAAAAATAATCCTTAACACTTCTCCGGTGATATCAGACAAAATTAATAATTCAGTGTCAATCAGAATGTTTTGGTTATCTGCCAGTAAACATTTCTAGCAAACACCTGAGGATAACATTTCTCTACTTCAACACTTGATGGAGCTACATTTTTGTATTTGGAACAGAACATTTTCAATGTATGTGATATTATGGAAGTCGGGAAAAATAAAATTACAGAACGGTAACATGCATGTGCATGTATTTCCGCAGTCACTTATAGCTTTTTTAACCAATGACTTGGAAAGGTTTGATTGCTTAAAACAGAAATGAGCAAGATTGTCATGGTAATTGCAAAACCTAAACAGACAAATAGACACTATGAAAACAGCCTTAGATGAGCTCCAACCATTTTTTTCATGGACTCGCTCATTTCTAAAAATGTACATTTGTTTTGTGATTATCGCACAATTCACATTATTTCAAAATTTGATCTTCATATCATACCAGTTACATCTTATAAATCTTTATAAGACATATTTCATTTCTTTAATATTAAAATATTGTAATAGTGGTCTTTGTAGATTCACACGATATTTTCACACGTAGTAAAGGTGTATAGGTGAGTAAACAGTACAGGATACAGAGAAAATTGGAGCGATATTTTCTATATACAAGTTTATAGACGGTATAGACAGGTTCTGAATTTACATAGGGTTTCAGCTTGGGCAGGTTCCGAATTTACATAATGTTCAGTTATCATAAAACATGTTTCAAATTTACCCAGGATTCAGTTTGAACAGGTTCCAAATTTACCCAGGGTTCAGTTTGGACAGGTTTCAAATTTATTTTGGGTTCAGTTTGGGCAGGTTTCAAATTTACTTTGGGTTTGGTTTGAGCAGGTTTCAAATTTACCCAGGGTTCAGTTTGGACAGGTTTCAAATTTACACAGGGTTCGGTTTGAGCAGGTTTCAAATTTACACAGGGTTCCGTTTGGACAGGTTTCAAATTTACACAGGGTTCCGTTTGGACAGGTTTCAAATTTACACAGGGTTCCGTTTGGACAGGTTTCAAATTTACACAGGGTTCAGTTTGGGCAGGTTTCAAATTTACACAGGGTTCCGTTTGGACAGGTTTCAAATTTACACAGGGTTCAGTTTAGACAGGTTTCAAATTTACACAGGGTTCAGTTTGGACAGGTTTCAAATTTACACAGGGTTAAGTTTGCACACGTTCCGAATTTACATAGGGTTCAGTTTGGACAAATTTCAAATTTACACGGTTCAGTTTAGACAGGTTTCAAATTTACCCATGGTTCAGTTTAGACAGGTTTTAAATTTACTTTGGGTTCAGTTTGGGCAGGTTTCAAATTTACTTTGGGTTCAGTTTGGGCAGGTTTTAAATTTACCCAGGGTTCAGTTTAGACAGGTTTCAAATTTACACAGGGTTCAGTTTGGGCAGGTTTCAAATTTACATAGGGTTCAGTTTGGACAGGTTTCAAATTTACACAGGGTTCAGTTTGGGCATGTTTCAAATTTACACAGGGTTCAGTTTGGGCATGTTTCAAATTTACCCAGGGTTCAGTTTGGACAGGTTTCGAATTTACCCAGGGTTCAGTTTGGACAGGTTTCAAATTTACACAGGGTTCAGTTTGGGCAGGTTTCAAATTTACATAGGGTTCAGTTTGGGCAGGTTTCAAATTTACACAGGGTTCAGTTTAGACAGGTTTCAAATTTACACAGGGTTCAGTTTGGACAGATTTCAAATTTACACAGGGTTCAGTTTAGACAGGTTTCAAATTTACACAGGGTTCAGTTTAGACAGGTTTTAAATTTACCCAGGGTTCAGTTTGAGCAGGTTTCAAATTTACACAGGGTTCAGTTTGGGCAGGTTTCAAATTTACCCAGGGATCAGTTTGCACATGTTCCAAATTTACACAGGATTCAGTTTGGGCAGGTTTTAAATTTACACAAGGTTAAGTTTGCACACGTTCCGAATTTACATAGGGTTCAGTTTGGACAGATTTCAAATTTACACAGGGTTCAGTTTAGACAGGTTTCAAATTTACCCAGGGTTCAGTTTAGATAGGTTTCAAATTTAGCCAGGGTTCAGTTTAGACAGGTTTCAAATTTACCCAGGGTTCAGTTTAGACAGGTTTCAAATTTACATAGAGTTCTGTTTGGACAGGTTGCGAATTTACCAAGGGTTCAGTTTGGACAGATTTCAAATTTACACAGGGTTCAGTTTAGACAGGTTTCAAATTTACACAGGGTTCAGTTTAGACAAGTTTCAAATTTACAAAGGTTTCAAAATTCATATAGATGTATGGTTCAGTTTAATATTCACAGCGGGGTCGGTTCAAAAAGATTTTTGATAGTACAGACAAATTTAACAAGACTCACTTTCTTTTGCAGCACATTCCGGATACTAGTAGTTAAACAACTCAAGTGGTTTTCTCCAGTGATAGCAACACCACCCATTGATTTCAGCATTTCATTTATTGTCTCCAATGTTGCCATGACAACCGTCCTATCTGCATCAGTGTTGATGATCTCAATGAAACTAGGTATGGTGTCAACTAGAAGTTTATTGAGAGCTGCAATAAAGTGAGGAGGTCAGAATAAATGGCATTACAAATTATAAATGAGGAAGCACTGTTCCAATCGGCTTATTCCTTTTAGAACACTAATGAACACTAACTGTATTCTAGTAATATGAATCAAAAACATCAATAGAGCATTTCTCATTCACTGCGTTATTCTGCATTATGCATGAAATCAAACAAAACAAGCCATGCATGGCACAGTCCCCGTTAGTTATCAAATTTAAGATATATAGTTTTGTTTATAGTAATATAGCTGGAATATAACCATGTCAGGAATATGATTTTTTGATATTAAAATGATTGACATTTGTTTCTGATGGTCAAACAAGTACTTGTCCATATTGAGAGATATTGCTCTGGAACAGCATTCAAAATCAGCCATTTTGAATACATGTATATATATAACATGATGTATAATGAATATATAAAATTTGAATATAATCAGTCAAGCATTTAAGAGATATAGCTCTAGAAGCTCAATCATTAAAACAAAATGGCCACCAGTCAGCCATTTTGAATCTAATCTGAAAAATAAAATGACATGCATCAGGAACCCGTTATGTCTAATGTATGTACCAACTTTGAACGAAATCCATCCATAAATGCCAGAAATGCTTGATATTTGATGATTTTTTAGCACAGAAATGACCACCATTCGGCCATTTTGAATAGGATCGTCAAACCAATATATCTGTTTATCTATGACATGATGTATAATGAATATTTAAAATTCGAATATAATCAGTCAAAACAAGTCGGAGATATGGGTCTAGAAGCCCATTCATTAAAACAAAATGGCCACCAGACAGCCATTTTGAATCCGATCTGAAAAATAAATGATGTGCATCAGGAACCTGTAATGTCTAATATATGTACCAAGTGTGAACGAAATCCATCCATAAATGCCAGAAATGCTTGATTTCTGATGATTTTTTAGCACAAAAATGGCCACCATTTGGCCATTTTGAATAGAATCGTAAAACCAATATATCTGTCAATCTATGACATGATGTATAATGAATATTTAAAATTTGAACATAATCAGTGAAAGCAAGTCAGGGATATGGCACGAGAACCACATTCATTAAAACAAAATGGCGGCCAGTCGGCCATTTTGAATCTTATCTGAAAAACAAAATTATTTGCATCAAGGTCCTATAATGTCTAATGTATATACCAAGTTTGAACAAAATCCATCTGTAAACAGCCGAGAAATGCTTGATTTTTAGGATTTTTTAGCACAAAAATGGCTGACATTCGGCCATCTTGAATCAGATCGTGAAACAAATTGACGTGCATATGTATAATATCATGTATGATGTATGTGTGAAGTTTGATTGTGATTGGTCCAGGCATTTCTTAAGATACAGGTCTGGATGCACGCACAGACGCACGCACGCACGCACACACACACACACACACACACACACACACACACGCACACACGCACGGAGGTCAAAACATAAGTCCCCGTTTTCGGACTGCGTCCGAACGGGGACTAATAATGAGACAAACAATGGTCATAGTGTTGTAGAGGCATCAAAACATTGCCATGGGATTCAACATGAAAGTCAGTATTTCGGGGTATTCGCATGCTTAATAATGTGCAATAGACATTTAATGATGGTCAAATTAGGTGAAGTAAGGGTATCTTAACATCTTGTTCCCATCTGAAAAATCAGCATTTCAACATTGAGCAAATAAATAAACAAATAAACAAATAAATAAATAAAATAATTAATATAAATAAATAAATATAAATATATAAAAATAAATAAACAAACAAACAGACAAACAAATAAATAAATAAATAAATAATTCAAGTTCAAAATCAAATCATTCAATTTGTGCGGCAGATGTTCAGGTCATGTCTTCACACAATGAACAAAGTTAAGAGGTTAAGAGCCAGCTTTGGAGTAAAGTTACACCCACATCTACCATATGTGCCAAAGACTATGAGACGCTCGTTTTTTTTTGTTTGTTTTTTACTTTTCTGGGAATTATTAGCAAAAGATACGTCTCTGGTGAAAGACTGGAAGTGGGTGCTTAGTGCTTTTCACAGAAGAGCATTATAAAACTTTTTTACTGTTTTCTTACCTCCAGTTTGATCTGGTGTGTTGGTTTCTGTAAATGCTTTATGTAACGAACAACAAAACTGTCCCACACAAGTAATTGCAGCTTTACGGACATCGCTGGCTGGATGATCTAAGATCTTATGGACTTCATTAAAACATTGCTCCAGATAAGGAATAAACACCACACTATGAAATAGAAAATATGATATGAACATCTATGATCGCACATTTAGGCTGGGGGGAAAAAAGCACCACAACTGTTGTGCAGTGCAAACAAAAAATTGGTAAGTTGCACTTTTGAGGCAGCGGAAAACTGAAAATTGGTTGTTATAAAATATTTCAGGAGGAACAGTGGAAATATATTCACATGGAGTGGGATATGCAAATGCAAATGAGCAAGAAAAACCATAATCCTGTTTGTTTATTTGATTTTTGTTTTATTTTAGTATTCCATACATGCATCTGAGTACTTCAAATGTCTTATGATTATTACGGATCATCTGAAACTACATCAAATTTGTTTTAAAATAGTCTGAAAGTTTGCAGTAGTTGTGATGTGCCGACCGACTGGTATTTCCACTGATGTATTTAAAATACAAGTTTATTTCTTGATGTTGTTCCTAAATATGTTTAAATACAGTCACCATGTCTCATGCAATGGCAGTGAATTATACTGTTTTTTTATTTTAAAAAAGCTCTTGAATTTTGTTCCATTTGCTGTATTTATAGATAATTATTTTTGCTGCTGGCTTTTTTCGAGTGAACAAGTGTCTGAAAATAATTGCAGATGAATAAAATGGAATATCGGATTACCCAAATCAGAATTTAAAGTAGGTCATACACTAGAATGATAATTGTAGGTCTGGAAACGTGTAATAATAACAGAACCACAAGGCCTCACCAAGACACTAGTGGGATATGGAAGTTATTTTCACATGTGGTGCTGTGTTTATCTATCCAACATTTTCACTCACACGACCACATGATCACTCATAAACATAACTTTATAATTTTATTTTCAATACTGTAGAATACTTTATTTTCGCTTGGAATTTATTTTCGCTGAAGGGATGATTCCATGAAAATAAAATCCAGCGAATATACTTTTTTTCCTATATTTCACATTAAACTCATAAAAAACCAGTGAAAATAAATTCCATACAAAACGCCCAAAAAGCCTTTTCAGCGAAAATTAATTCCAGCGAAAATAAAGTATTCCACAGTATGTTATCAGAAACATACAACTTATCCTGATGCTACATTAGTTCATTCTACTGTGAATATATATTGAATTTACTCAGTGCTTGTAGTACAGAATACAAATGTACCTGCGAATCTGTAGTTTTTTTGTTTTGTTTTTAAATCACATACAATTAAAAATTTATATGTTTTGAGTTATCCATAACAGTTCCATCCATCTATAGTGTTATGAGATTGCAAGAAAAAACAAATAAAAGCAGATCCAAATACTGTAAAATACCTTATTTTAGCTGGAATTAATTTTCGCTGAAAAGGCATTTTTGGTGCTTTGTATGGAATTTATTTTCACTGATTTTTGACAAGTTGAATGTAAAATATAGGAAAAAATGTATATTTCGCTGGATTTTATTCCCACTGAATCATTCCTTCAGCGAAAATAGCGAAAATTAATAAATTCCAAGCGAAAATAAAGTATTCTACAGTAGCTAAGATTTTAATGACAGGCAAGCAATTCAGAATGTAGATGCATAATAAGGACGCTTGTCAGGGCTTTTAGTATTCATCATATCACATAACTGATCATTAATTTTCGAGATAAACATGTTCCGAAGAGTAGTGTTCCATTAAATAGAACTTACCCAGCATTTGTAGCTATTTCACCTAGGGCATTGCAAGCATCCTCTTTCTCCTCTAGGTAAGCATTCTCCACACTGTAACTATAGCAACAAACAAAAACACCACATATGGTGCATCAAGGGATAAAAAACATGATTGATGTAATTGCTCTATTATAAACACATCTCCAACAAAAGCTTCATAAGTAAAACAAATTTTGAAAACCAAAGCCAGCTTGTGTCACCTTTCTTAAAATAAACTCGATAATTTTTTTTATTAAAATTAAGAAATTATATGAAAAAAAATTAAAATTTGTAAAATACATGTATAGCACAAATATTTGGGCAGGAACAATTGTCTTTTTTTTAAAATGATAAACAAAATTCAGAAATTTATAATAAGTACCATGTTATCATAGTATTGGAAAATGGTATATTGTATTGCAGTTTGCTCTGGAACATCATTCCCAACATTGGACACTGAGGGCAGTGTCATAAAAAACAACACATAGTTCAACTAAAGGTATGCATATCAGCTGCAGTTACAGAATAATTTACATCAAGCCAGATCATAACAACCATGGTTTTCACTTTGCATGATATCATAGATTGATGCAGCCTTAAACGTGCTGAGTGAAAATTATAATTCCGAGGGAGTGAATGTCAATGTATATCTTGATATTTTTGTTATTTTATTGAGAATCACCCTCCCCTTTAATCACCCTCCCCTTTCTGCTTGCTCTTCATCTACATGGCATGTTTGCATACTGGCAGCTTTAAAGCTGCATTTCCACTGTGTAAATACATAAAACATCACTCCCACAACAAGCTATTAAGTAGAAATCCTGCTCTAACTTTCCGGCATAATTTATTTTGAGAGTGTTGGAAGTTCGTATCCCTTCGGTATCTACAACTGACCAAACATAACCTCCTAACTCAGTATCTATTTTCGCTTATTTTGGGAGGACCTTTAATCTTCTTGTTAATTTCTCATCCATTAACAACCTTGATATTTGGCAGTGTATATGTCGGTATGGGGATAGTACCGTCACAAAGAGGGAGTACAACTATAAGTATAAAAACCTCCTTCAAAGTTATTTTGAATAGTAAAACAGAAAATTCAGAATTTCTGAATGTTCATCAACATCTTTAGTTTCTCTGAATACGTTAATTTTATTTTAAACCATTCACTCAAAATTGTAAACATTTCATTTCCACCAACAAATAAAACAAGCTGAGTATCAACTTGATGATGTGCTCATGAGAACAGGAACAGCATAACAAATTGTTAATGCATGCAATTCAACAAATACTGATTTGCTATACATCATACAGCTGTGACTCTTACCCTTGTATGTCCTCATCATTACCAATATTTTCATCACCATTTTCAGCCGACAACTCTTCTTCATCAAACATATTGAACGCACTGTTTTCTTCTTTGTAATGTGCCTATATGGCAAGATATTCAAAATGAGTGACTAAAACAGAGCACAACTTACGGTAAAAAAGTAGTATTCAGAATTTTGAAAAAGCTTATTTTTTGCCTATGGTTTAAAATATTTTAAAATACTCCTGGACCAATACTCTATGATTTAACATTGTGAGCAAAATAAAGACCAACACTAAAAAGTCTAGATTTGATCTCAGTGATTGATTTTAGGAATTGAAGTTATTTACAGTGTAATGGAAACTGGAAATATTTATTGTACAACAAAGAGGGATATCATGAGATTTTGAAATAACATTTCATCATTTCGCTAGTGTATGTATGTCTCAGAGTAGTTATAAAATTACTCACCACATTGCCTAAATACGACAGTATTTATGTCTATGGGTGGTTACATACATGTACTCACCACATGGCAATACTGCTACAGTATGCATGTCTACGGGGTAGTTAGATACTCACCACATGGCCACACTGTTACAGTATGTATGTCTATGGGTTGGTTACCTACTCACCACATGGCCATACTGCTACAGTACTCCTGTTTCGGAATAATTGCACACTCACCACACCACCATACTTCTAGCGTACACATGTCCCGGAGTAGTTACACACTCACCACATCACCATACTTCTAGCGTACACATGTCCCGGAGTAGTTACGTACTTACTACAACACCATACTGCTAGCGTACACATGTCCCAGAGTAGTTACGTACTTACCACAACACCATACTTCTAGCGTACACATGTCCCGGAGTAGTTACGTACTCACCACATCACCATACTTCTAGCGTACACATGTCCCAGGGTAATTACACACTCACCACATCACCATACTTCTAGCGTAGATGTCCCGGAATAGTTACGTACTCACCACATCACCATACTTATAGCGTACAGGTTCCGGAATAGTTACGTACTCACCACATCACCATACTTCTAGCGTACACATGTCCCGGAGTATTTACGTTACTTACCACAACACCTTCATCTGATGTAATTGATTCTATCATTAATTTTGTAATAACTGCAAGATATGGTTCCATTTCTTGTTTCAAAACTATTGATATTGATGCAAATAAACCATATCTGAAATAAGCAATGATATCAATCAATCACATGAAGTGTGTTTCTCTCAAAGGGGTTAAATCAAAACTGTACATGTGCACACTAGTGTTTTTCGGTTTTCTGTATTGACAGCATGTGCATTACTTGTTATATACAATTGAAGACGTAAGCATTGTTCACAGTTATAACTACAGTACTTCATCTACAATTATTTGAATTGATGAGCGTGCCTGTCAATGTGCAACTTGCTTTTAGAATATCTCTAAATACGGGCTGCAATCATTATGTAAGCATTCTTGTTATGCAAGCATTCTAAGAACATACATAGTTCTGATAACAGTGCGGGCTTTATACACTGCAATATTATTTGTTATGAACAGGATTCGGCTTTTACGGCTCAAGGTCATGCAACAGAAGTGCCTGAGCTTGTGAGGGTGCATGAGGCGTACAACTGAGGGCAGTAAAAGATGTATCCAGTCCAAAATAATTTTATCATATACCTTATACTTGTAATTATAATTTTACTATGGTGTGACCTCAAACACACAACATAATTTAGAATGACGCACTTTGTTTTGAATGATGAAATACAAGCGCGCTGGGCCAGGCGTGTTATGGGAAATTAATTATTCCTATAACGTTACAAGGCTGGGTATTGATATAATGGAATTAATTAACATTATTATACATCTGTCACCGTAATGCCGTAAGTTACAGTGTGACGTAATTTTGTGGTATTGCACTGGGTATTTTCATCCTACTATATTAGGAAACGCAAATTCCAAATATGGAACGAATACACATGTAAGCAACCTCTAATAATAAAAACAAACTGCCCAGGGTTTGACAGAACACCACACAAAGAAAGTCGCTAAATCTGTTCTAAATGTTTTGGATTTCGGCATTCCCATGATGTATTCCTGGGAGGAAAAGATGTTTAATAATAAGGTTATTACAAGGATAGTGCAAAGTATGCACTCAGACGGTGTGCCAGTCGATACTCCCGCTGTACTGTCTTCATGCATACTTTGCAGTATTCTCGTAATAACCTCATATTATATTAATATATCATTTTCAGTTATTGTCACTTCATATTAAAGAGAAACTGTCATGGCAGTACTTAAACCAAACGATCTATATTTGTCATCGTATTTATCACAAAGAGCAGGAATGAAAACTTACGTGCATCTCCTTAGATCAGGGTCGTCAATTTCCTCAATTAACTTCAATCCTAACTGCATACACTCTACAGCGAGTGGTGAGAAATGTTCTACACCAATCTGTCTGGCGAGCACTCCTAAGGTATCTGCATATAGGAAAATATCATCTTTTAATATTGTGTAAGCTGATCATTTTTTTTTTAAATATACAATTATTTTACAAATTGAGTATTGATGCACTGAGCAAGTGATGATATGTGATTAAACTTATGCTAATAGCGAGAAATAAAAAATAAATCTTCCTGCCTTTCAGTGTATTTTACTTGTACATATAGTGAAAAAATGTGTTAACTCCATATTGGATTTTACAAAGGATTGTAGGTTAGAAAATTTAACTATAGAGGACCTTTGGAAGGAAACTCATATATTTTAAATAGAGCCCTGTGCTGACATCAACTGTAAACCTCTCCTGTGTTCAAGTAACACATCAGTGTTTTCTTTAAATTGTATGGTTATATTTTGTTGGACTTTCCATCAATTTCACTGGAAAGATTGTTTTGGAAGATTTTTACTGTTTTTGGCTGCAAGCTGTCTGTAGGAACCATAAAGATTGGTAAGTGAAATACCTTGAATTGTTAGAAGAAAACAATGTGTTGAGTATTAATAATGTATTAATAATGTAAACAGAGATCATTTAAACAGGAAGAGTATGAAATTCTTTTAAAGAAATATCAAGGGCAGAACAACTGCCAGGTGGCTCAATTGCTAAAGAAAAAATAATAAATTATGTAAAAACTAAACTCAAACAAGTTAACAAGGCTTTGTGATAAAAAAAGAAGTAAGAAAACCTACCAATTGCTTGTATTTGTAAAACCATTTTATTTATTGGCAATGTGTTCATTATATAGAGCTTTAACTGTTGTATGATTTGTGGGAAGTATGGCACCATGAGTTCCTTAGCAGCATTAGCAGTGGCCCCTATTGCACTAATTGCCAACTCCTGTACATGGATGGACTCAGAAGATTCCAATGTAGCTAATAACGTCTCCATTAATGAAGCTAAATATGGCAGTAATAATTCAGCACCTGTTTGGAAAGATTAAACAAATCATGGAATCAGGATTGATCAGTGTTGAAATGAGGTTTCTCATTCATCCTGCTTGCCAGGGCTGCCTCAAAACTGAGTTGTTTATTAGGCCTCGGCTCCACCAAAAAAGTGTGAAAAGATCTTATTTATTTGAGTTTCGGATCGTGTCCAATCAGGAGGCTAATAATTATAAATAAGAAGTACCATTCAAGGTATATAAGAACTATGAAAGCATAAGGTTTAGAAAAATCTATAAACATACAGGTTTTGACCAGAAAATATTCTTTTATTATAATACAGTAAAATGGATATTCGAAGCCGCGGTTTCTATTAAAATGATACAATGCAACAGAGGGGATGCAGCTTTTATTAGAACACATCTACACAAATGAGAAATTTTTTCGTTCACAATTGTTTAAAAAAATGGGTGCGACTTCTATTAGGGATGCGGCTTCTAATACAGATTTTACGATAGTAGTCATGAGAGCAATCATACCATAAAGTTATGACGTGAGTGACTCACCTAAATTTTCGCAGAACATTTCCAATGCATAGTACATCTTAGTAACACCGATAGGGTCCTTTTGGGTGGCTGGGTGAGCTCTGACTTGATTTAGGTACTCAAAAAGCAATGGCAGGATACTGGCATGGTATTTACTGATGTGTGGCTGAAGGTGTTCAGAGAACTGTCCTAATGTAAATAGTGCTGCATTGCGTACAACTGGATTACTGTCTTGTATGCTTTTACAGACCACCTGTAGTAACGCTTCAATATACCTAAATATGGAAATAATTATTCCATATATGGGAGTCAGTAAGCTGCCAAATATGGTTTCTGCATACATTAAAATTAGACATGTATTAGTGCATGTTTTTAGATTCTGTCAAATAAGGCAACTACATGTACATATATGGCATGAATAATTTTGTAAAATACTTGGACATTATCGATTGACTCTCAAACAGAAATACATGCAGCTATCATTTTCTTTCCCACAATGCATCATGGGAAAAATGGAGAAGAGATGAAAATAGCAAACCACACATTTTGAAAAGTAACTCATGTCATATATAACATCGGTTGAAGCACAATACAGAGAATGGCAAAGATAACATCATTCATATTACGACCAATTATTATTCTTGCAATTCCCTTTCCAATGAATCAAGGTGCATTTTGAATTTACAATATATGTATCCGGTATTAAGCCTTTTAGTTGAAGGCCACATGATCACTGACAAATCAAATGTTCACTATGCATTAAAGATAAAGATTGTGACTTCAACTGTTTTTCCGCAGTATCTAGCATCATAAATTCTAAATAATATTGTAATAAAATGTGCATATTCTGTTTCTTTATTGATAAAGTGTTATTAATGATGACACAACTCATTTTGCAATTTTATTTTCCTCAAAGAGAGGTAAATATTCACCCTAATCTGGAATATGAGGAACTAAAATTGTCATTTGATGTTCAATTTTTCAAGAAGGGTGCTCAACTAAGCACCCACCTCCTGAACAATATGATTTTTGGAGCTGAAGACCCTGGATACTAAATCAGATGAGTATGGTAGTTGCCATCAGATCTAAATAGGTGATTTTCCGTACAATTGCGAGATCTCGCGAGATGCATGAAAGACGCGCGTCGAACGTCTGCCGCAAAAATCGAACGAATTGATTTTGAACTAGAATTTCTTTCGTGATTCTCGCAGTGAACGGAAAATGGTCTATTCTAAGAAAAATTTTTTCTCACGTGAAGTCTTGAAAACTTACTTATTCTTAATATGATCAGCACATCCTTCAGCTAACACAGCTAGACACATGAGAGCAGCCTTTTTATGGTATGGATTATCACTTTGCAAAGCTGGTTCTACATACTGCATTAGTGGCTGCAGTAGCTTTTCTGGAGGTACATGTAATGCTAAGGTGTCTATAACCTGCATAGAAAATTAGATGAAATGCATCAACAGATATCATAGAAGTTATCAATATATCTACCAATAAAAGCCATTTTTCCCTCACAATTTTAATAAAGATCTATTGTATGTGTTCATTAACATGACAATGCATATTTGTTTATGCTTATAGCACTTATAAGACCTAAGAATTGAGGAAATCATTGATGATTATAGTTCGCAAGTATTTGCAGGGATTCCCACTTTCCGAGAGAATTCAAGTTTCTCAAAAAACAAATAGTTGACCAGTCATTTTGATTATCATTTTCTTTATCCGAATGGCATGGATATCAGTATTACAGAGAAAATAACATTTATTTTCAAATTTCGTCTATTTTTTTTTACTAATCTCTAACACAAGACTATTCATACCAGATAGTTTTTATAGTACATAATTGTATTGTATCTGATATTCAGGCGTATTTGAATTTTAGTTGCTTTCGATATGAATTTTTACAACTGTTTATAGTAGTTGAAAAGAAAAACTAACATACCTGTGATGAGAATGCTGATGGACGACTGACTTCCGCTTCTTCCATGTACTCATCGTCTTGTTCTTCGTCATCAGGTATGGCAGACATTATAGGAAAGACGACGCTGATTATAGGTGCTATCAGTTTATGTTTCAATATTGCCTGAATATATATAACAAAAAATACGATGCATGGATATAATGCTTACAGTATGTTTTCCTATTAGGATAAATCAATGAATTAATTCTTGATTTTCAACCCAAATTGTAGACTAAATTTTATTAAATTTATTTTATTTTATTAAACTAAATAATTAATATTGGTGCATAATGCTCACAGCTGTTGATCAAAATTAATATTTAGGCATCTATATGAAGTAATAAATTAACTGTACAGATGAGAACTTTTATTTGATGCAGGCTGTGTTCACAAAATGTTATTTGACTCAACCAATCACTGCTGCCAGTTCCATTTGAGCTATACAAGTGTCAGAATATAGCCATCCATCATCACTTAGTTTACACTTGCCTCAGTGTTTGCTGTCTTCACTTTGCCTTTTTTTTAACACACGTACACCCACCCTACTAACACATCTCCACACGCAGGGTGAACCCCCTTCCTTTTACAGACAACCTTGCTTCTTGTCTTCAGTTTTTATCATTTATTCCTCCCACAATCCCAGCAATGTGCAATATGTATTCAACGTGAATACCTAAACAATTATCATAAACAGGTCCTGTCAGGGATACAAGAACAAAGTAACAACACCGACACAACTGCTGAGTGATACCTACCTTTTTCTTCAATCTTGTTAACCAGCTTATAAAAGAGAGTGCTTTTACTCGAATGTTATCACCTAGATCAGCATTAGCAGCTACCTTTTATAGGATATACCGTTAAAAAAATAAAACACCTATTACACTAGAAATTAGTTTCCCAACGATATTTAAAATGCAAATTTTGCATAACACAATAGAATCATTTTTCATAAATAACATATCAATAATCTGTTGTTTTTCTGAAAGTTACAGCATGGCATTTCTGTGGAAAAGCATGTTGAAATTGCCATATTATATATGACTCATTATTTTTTTGGATTTATGACAGAAGTTACTTAATCATGAATATAATAATATGTAAATCTCTATAAATAAAATCATCCAAATGGTCAAGACAAACTGGCCACATAAAAATGACATGCACCGAAACAGTTATCATTCTGGTATTGTCTCCATGGCAACAAAAATTATAGATGCAAAATATTACCTCGAGACAAAACTCCACAAGAATTTTAATATGCGGAACCACAATTGACACTTCACATTCAACGAGTTCATCAAACAACTCCATAGCCTCACAAGCATGGTCTTCATCTTGGATGATAAGATCCCGTATCACTAACAATACCTTAGGAATCAATGGTCTGAATATTGGCTGGAAGAAATGTATGAGTGATATGAACAATTAAAAATTACATTATTATAATAGCAATAATCATAGATGCTGATTATTTGCAATGGATCCCATTATTGTACATCAAGTTCCTATGTCACACACAGGAATACAACTGTATATTTAAACAAATAAAGTATTTACACAAAAGATTATTAATAAATTAAAAAAAAGTGTTCATCTGCTCTGAATATTAAACATGTTCAATCACAGTGTTTGTGATGTTTAAATTTGGTAGCAGCGTATCAGTGTAACTATCATTCACTATAACACTACTCCATGCCAAATATCCATCAACCATCCGCTCACTGGTAAATGAATACATTTAATATTTGATGTATCAACACTTGTATCTTTCTTATTTTATATATTACAGATGTTTCAGTAATTATTAATAATATACAAATTCCAAACACCTACCACAGTGTCAGTGTCTACATACTCAACAAGTGCAGTCATTGTTCTGATGGAAAAAAACAGAAAACAGATGAACAGATTGTTACCATGCCAATATAAATTGATGAAAAAAAAACTAGCATCATTATAAAATGATGTAAACAGAGGGTTTGAAGATTAATACATAGTGAATGCATGGATTGAACAAATCCATGTGTTGCATGTAGAGTGTAATGAATTCTATTCAATTACACATATTGTACTTGCTCTTATTTGTTGGTTATGTGTGCTGTTGAGACAAATTCTGGGGAATTTATGACTCGGCAAAAATTCATGGAATGATGTAGCTTTGATTGTTTCACTTGGGCCTCAAAAAACAACTTTTGAAAAATTTTGATCTCACAAAAGCCATCAAAATTATTAGCAGTGAAAACAAGTACTGTAGAATACTTTATTTTTGCTTGGAATTTATTTTCGCTATTTTCGCTGAAGGGATGATTCCGTGAAAATAAAATCCAGCGAATATACTTTTTTTCTTATATTTCACATTAAACTCATCAAAAATCAGTGAAAATAAATTCCACACACAACACCCAGAAAGCCTTTTCAGCGAAAATTAATTCCAGCGAAAATAAAGTATTCTACAGTAATCACATTACATAGTCCCTGTTAATTACCATAATAACCATAATATAATTTTATTTATCATAATATAGTTTAACATGAATGGTCAGAACATGTCAGAGATATGGATTCAGAACTGCAATTGTTAAAACAATATGGCTGCCAGTTGGTCATTTTAAATCAGAGTAAGAAAATAAAATTATATGCATCAAGGTTTCATAATGTCAAATGCAAGCATAATTTTTAAATAAAATCCACGAAAAAAAGACTGACATCTGGCTCCAGAATGGCAGTTCAAAACATAAATTCTTGTTTTCAAACTGTGTTCAATCACAGTTTAATAAAACGATTTATTAGTTCACACAAAACACACATACAGTAAAATGTAGAAAAAAAGTCTTAACGAGAATAGTGAAACAAGGATGGATTGTTACTTACTTTATAGTATGAAAAGGAACCAATTTACTTTCTTTGTCATCCAAAGTTGACGTACCAAACATAGATAACAATCCTTTGAGATGGGGTTGTAAACTTTCACCAGCTGTATCGGAAACCGAACTCATCACCAACATACCAACCTACAATTCAAACATGGTAGGTTGGACTCCTTGGATGTTAGCTATACTGCAAATAGTTCTGAGAGAGTTTAAATTTATGAGTATGAGAAAATCACTGGGACATGCGAGTCACGCTGACTTTCATAAAATTTGCAAACTGATTTCAACTCAAACCAATCAAACTAAATTTGTTACAGGACATTATTATTAAAGTGCGGTAGTCGTCGCACATGTTCGACATTTGTGTTGATAAACATTTTCCCATAATCCAATGCGCTCTTCAAATGGAAGTCACAAGTATGAGGTTTGACCTGGGCACAACTTGCACTGATTACCGTCGGTGACTCCTTTCGATACCATCCAATCACATGAAAATTACCTTATTAAAGCTTGGAAACGTGTCAGTTCGTACTCGTTGATCTACGCAACAGTCAAAGTCGCCATCTTTGTTTATATGAGACCTATATATCTTGCACATGCACAGCAAGACGACTACCGCGCTTTAAGCTTCATACAAAAATTCTAATGTGCAGATATATCGTATAAATCATGCAGGGTCTACACACCACTGTGCCAATGACTAATTCTTCCAACAATTGACTATTAAAGCTGGGGAGAGTCATCACCTGCACATGCGTCAGATAGCCATAGTGTGTCATTGTTTACAAACAAGCATCTACCCCATGAGCCTTTGCGTTTGTTCGTGTGTTGTTATTGTCGCGCGTGCGCAGGTGACGACGCTCCCGTGCTTTGAAACAAGAATTGTTTTAGTCTTTAATAAAAAAATGCTGATAAACAATTCTTGTTTATTCTCAGCTGAAAAGGTTTCATGTGTTGCAGTTTAATCCAGCTCGGTATGTTCCATCCAATTATCCTACTGGAATATGTCTCTGTAACTTCAATAGAAATACACTCTCCCTTTTTGACTACTGACGTGTATTCAAATTAAGTACAAACTACAAGGTACAACACGCGTGTGCTAATACACATTGCTGTTTCCCATGATTCCTGGCAGCTACTGCTAACTGTGATGGTGGAATTGGTAAATTACAAGAATATTTGAATGGCAATGTTTGACCAAACACGTTTCTCTTCCTTCTTAATTTAGAGGACCAATCAGAGAGATTCTTACTCATAGATAACTTTGATCTCTAGCTTTGATGAAATGGCGTAAGTTTGGCAGAATGCATGGTGGACAAAATAGACCTGCACAGCACCTATGAATTGTTTTTAAAATTATTCCTGATTAGCCAGTAAATTGAAATAATGTAACTGATTATAAATAATCAACTCAAGTTTGCTTTTTTGGGTCAACGTGGCTCTGGGTTGCAAAAATGACTAACACCTCATAAATTTGTTAAAAACTGCAGTAAAAATAGTACATACCTCTCTATGTGCTAAAACAGGGCTTCTTGTATATTCTGTTAAGAATGTGAGTAACTCGGGCCATTTGTTTTCCACCAAATCATGCTTAGCAATGGAACTAACAACCTCAGCTACGGAGTGTCTCACCACATGTCTAGCAATAGATAAGAATGTATGAGAAAAGTTTGATATGTGCTGAAAACCTGTCTAAACTGAACACGTGTAGCAGTCTCATCTTATCTCAGCAAGAACAAATGAACTCTAGAAACTGAATAGCTTCAGACTCAGGTGTTTATACAAGTTTTACTATAAAACTTTTATAAACTCAAAAACTCTGTAATTTGAAAAGCATCTCAGTTCTTTGGCTGTTTTTCTGACAGGTTTTAATGTAAAATAACAATTTTTCTATTTTTATTGGTATTCAGTTTAAACAAATTTCACTGTAAAACTTCGCTTAATTGACGACCTCTATCTACAAAACCATTTTTTTGATCTCTTTGATGTTCAGTTTAGACAGGTTTCACTGTAAGACATCTATAAACTGAACACCTCTGTAAACCAAACAATTTTCTCAGTCTTTGGTGTTCAGTTTAGACAGGTTTCACTGTAAAACCTCTATAAACTGAACACCTCTGTAAACCAAACAATTTTCTCCGTCTTTGGTGTTCAGTTTATAGAGGTTTCACTAAAAAACCTTTACAAACCAAACAATTTATTTTTTAATGTACAGTTTTTTCTACTAAACAGCAGATACAGGAATTATTTTCTAAGATGTTGGTGTCATATAGGAAGCCACTTACTCTGGTTCTTGGGTTAAAACTTGAAGCAAAGTGACCCGTAATTGCTGCTGATCATCAGGAGGTACCTTTTTCCATTGTTTAACAATACGTCTTCTGAGTAAGACGGCAGCAAACTGTCTTATCTGTTAAATAGGAAAAGTTTATTGGATATATTAGTATAGTACAACTGCTTCCATGAGAATATTTGTACATAAATGTACTGTGAAGTGCTTTATTTTCACTATTATCGCTGAAGGACTGATTCAGTGAAAATGAAATGTAGCGAAATTAACTTTTCTCCTATATTTGTCATTTAACTCATTAACAATCAGCTAAAATAAACTTCATATAAAACATCCAAAATCCTTGGTCACAAAAATTAATTCCAGCTAAAAGAACTTCACAGTATAGTGTTGCATTTTTGTGGAAGTCTTTTTCAAGAAAAAAAAAAAAAATCCTAAGCTCCTGTGAAGGATAAAATGATTTTAGTAATATTGGCGACTATGGCATTTTTTTTTTCCTATTAACCAATTTCCAACCAAACACAAAATTTATTCTGTCATACCAGAGGTACATTACTTGGGGTTTGCAACTACGGTGACATGATACCAAGATCCCGTTTCAATCTCGCTCTCGCATAAGCGTTCCAACTCAGAAAAATGCAAATGCACATGCCCGAGGTAACTAGGATACTGAGATGTCCAGGTGGATCAAAATAGCTGCTCACGGATTACGATAACTATATTTTCTGTACATTTTCGATGTATTACATTCTTTCACTATGAATATGGTAATACATGTTTTATTGTTTTATTACAAACCGCCTATGTCATGTCAGAAGGTCGTAGCATCAGTCTCGCTATCTACGAGATGAGACTTGAATGGGATCTTGGCATGATGTCACCATACAGTACTATGCGCATTACAAACCCCAAGTAATGTACCTCTGATCATACTCGTGTAATAAATTGAAATAAGCTACTGTAGCATACACTTAAATACATTTTCCTGTTGTTTGTGACATCATTGGTGACTAGCAACTTTCACAAAAAGAATTGTCTGAAGTTAGGCACGTATAGTTAAATAATACTCTTACTATGAGCAATAGCACAGATTTGTAATTAATTGATAATTAATTAATTTCTAATTTACCTGAGGGTTTTGTGCTCCACATAATACAGAACACAAGGCTGATGCAATAGCAGGATTCTTAAAGGCTTCCCTTAATTCATTGGTACCCTGTGTTGAAAAATATAATTCATTGGAATCTTGTGTTGAAAAAATATTATTCATTGGTACCCTGCGTTGAAAAAATATTATTCATTGGAACCTTGTGTTGAAAAAACATTATTCATTGGTACCCTGTGTTGAAAAATATAATTCATTGGAACCTTGTGTTGAAAAAATATTATTCATTGGTACCCTGTGTTGAAAAATATAATTCATTGGAACCTTGTGTTGAAAAAACATTATTCATTGGTACTCTGTGTTGAAAAAATATAATTCATTGGAACCTTGTGTTGAAAAAAACATTATTCATTGGTACTCTGTGTTGAAAAAATATTATTCATTGGTACCCTGTGTTGAAAAATAATATTTAGTGGTACCCTGTGTTGAAAAAAAATTATTCGGCAGAACTCCAGAAGACGTACCTACACTTTATGCAATTTTTTTTAATTATGCTAATTTATTCATGACATAGCAGTTTCTGTGCTCATGAATATTCATTAATTTGTGGGTCAATACATTTTAAAAGGGGCGATATATTATTTTTGGGGGAAGAGTTAGAAAGGGGGATCAGTAATCATTAGGGGGTCAATACAAAAGAAGGGACCCATTTGGAGAGCAGCCATGCTCCTCGTGTCTGTTGTTGCACGTGACCTACAGCTGTCAACTGTGTTCGTTCTTC